TTTAGAGTGTGCACGCGACGTTCCTGGACGCGGACGCGTGCGTCTGTGCCCTGCTCGGTCCTGCTCCTCCGTGGCGATGACGGCGTGCGGTTAAAAAAAATCATAACAAACGAATTTGAAAGTGGGGGGGACATGTCCCCCCTGTCCCCAGTGGAAATTACGCCCCTGAGTATAGATATATATATACAATTTTATTTTAATTTTTTGTAAAAAATACACAAACAATACACAGATAATGATAATCAGATTCAGATAATGAAGGGTGGGATTTGATCTTAACCATCTGAATTTCACTGGATTGTAATCATTGCTAAACTGTCAAGTAATGGGTCAGTTTTAGCAAAAAGCGAGGCACGAGTTTTCGTTTGCCATGATTAAAGTCCTCAATTATGATTCCTGCGCAAAAAAGTAAACTATTACAAGGAAATCAGGTTTTCTTTGAGACGTAAGGAATGTGATGAATAATCTGCAGGGAGGAGACCCTCGGTTTATTTGAAATAAGGGCTGATTGTTTTTATTAAATGTGAAACAACACGAATGAGCAGACGGATCAAAGCCAGTGACACACAGATCCCCGCTGAGCATGACCTTTGACCCCGGGCTGTAGGATTGTTGGTCAGATGCATGCGTGACTGCGGAGGGCGGGAAGGCGGGGGAGTCACCCGCGGCAGGAAACGTATGCATACCGCCACATTCCAGAGGTCAAAGGTCACAACGGAATCCATGTTCATAGAGTGGGGAATGATGACTCCTCCCACTCAGACCTGATTGGTCTGCACAGAGATACAGGGGTGAGGTAATGATGATGTAACGGTGAGAAGTCGAGGTCTAGGTTACGGTGTCAAGCAAATGTCTCTCCACATATCATATAAAAACCCACACCCAGGATATAACATTGACTATATAATAGCATCTTTCTTTTGTGTAAAATAAAATAAAATAAAAAAATATTTAATATTTAAAATGGGTTATTACAGGTATAACTGTCATGCCCCTGGACTCTATCTTTGTGATTTTCCCTCTCCATGTGCCTGCCCTGACCTAGTTTTCCCATGTGTTTGATTGTTCATTATTTCCAGGTGTCTCGTCATCCCCTCGTCAAGTCCTGTGTATTTAAGTGAGTCCTATTCAGAGTTCCTTTGTCTGGTATTGAATGTTCATCTTTCCCCGCTACGTGTGTTTTCCTGGTTCCATTGGATGTTTATTAAAGTCTGTTTGTTAGAAGTCTACTCCACGTCTCCTCGTTCCGTGCTCCTCACAGTAGCGAATCGTGACAGAATACCAGACCGAAACAGTGTTATCTGTATGTTTCCCTCCGTTTTTGTTTCCGCGTTTTACCCAGTGTTTTTTGTTTCTGTTGTTCCCTATGGATCCCCTTGCCCGCCCAGAATACCTCCTCCTCCTGCTGGAGCAGGGGCAGCGATCGCTCGAGGGCCATACCAGACTGTTCCTGGTCCTCGCGAGTCTCACCAGCTACCCAGACGACGCGCTCTGTGCGTTCTACATTGCGTGCAGAGCGCCTTCGTCCGAGGATGGTCCTCGAGCGAATTTCACCACATTTGTGGAGTGGACACTGGTGAGAAATGGATCTCCGTTCCCCGTCTGTTCCCAAGAGAATCTCGCCAGTTCCACTCCCGACCAAGTGCCCAGCCCACCATCTCCCCACTGCGAGAAGCATCAGCCCGAGCCCACCATTGACGGAGAGCACGAGCTCGCCGTGGCCGACGAGCCGTTGCCGCATGGAGCGACAGAGCAACGGATCGCAGCGGAGCCGGAGCTGCAAATGACGTCAGTCAAGGTGCGAGAGCCGGCAACAGAGCCCGCCACGAGGGAGAATGCCGCCGACAGAGAGAGCGCGGAGTGGAACTCCGCCCCCTGCACCGTGGGTGAGGGTGAGCTGAGTAAGGATTTGGGAGAATGCAAAGCGGAGGAAAACTTAATTGACTTGTTTACCGACCTGCCCCCTTTCCTTCCTCCTCTATCAGTGAACTC